AGAAGATAGAAATTAACAACTTCAATTATGATGATTGGTTTATTAAATACACATGGCCTTGGTAAAATAAGCAGTATCATTTTTTTACTTTAATTGACATGGAACCACATGTTGCTTACAGTAAGTTACGGCATCGGATAGTCATATACACTTATACAGTAACAAATGTTCACAATTAGCATCATTTACGTAAATTTATAATTATTGCATATTCTTATTGTAAAAACCATTCTATAATTATTATGAAAGTAAGGAGCCGAATGGTGAAATCCGTAGGATAGTTAATTTCTTTTTTCCATGAAAACAGGGTGTATTCATGCATTCGCATTTGATAGTGTTGATTGGTATATTTCACACTGTAAATGTAATAAGGACGGAAGTTTGGTTTTGCTTAAGCAATTTCTAAAAGATAATTTAGCTAACTTTTAGAGGCGTAGTTGGCGTTACATAATACTTTTATTGTTCTAAGATTTCGTTAGAATAAGCATAAGTTAGCAATCTAATGTTGGGCACTTCAAATAGTGTTTGGTAGATTTTATAGATTCAAATTTGTTTTTGATTGCAGCAAAAGCCTATCCTTACAGGAAAGCCTTTTGTAGCAAGTTGATGATATTTTTCCATATTCAGATGTTTAAATTAATAACTTCATACTGCCAATCGCTTTGACTGCTATACGATATTATCCTTTGTGATAAGTGCTAATTTGTGTCTAGGTAATTTTCGTTTTGATTACTGTATTAAGGTGGCAAAATTGAAATTGCACGATGAAGATTAGATTATTTCTAGACTAATAAAAACTGTTGAATATTTTGTATTTGGAATATAGTCTGTAATATTCGCAGAGTAGGTAACAATGTTATAGGTAGCGGAATAGTCCAACGATTCATGATTACAAATCAGCGTCATAGTAGCATTAAGAAGCACAGTAGAATGCATAAGTGGCTGGATTCATCTCTTACAAGTTAAATAGTCAATTTCGAGGAATATATTGAATAATAAAATCATCTCCTCATACAACTAATGTGTTTCTAGAAATTAAAATTTTCAGAAACGCTTTCTAAAGAATAATCTCGGGAAATCGATATGACGTTATTCTTGAATCATCAATTTCACGATTTCAATTAACGTTATTCGACCCCTTCAGATGTAATTTGAACTTGAGATATAAATAGATTACTTATTGAATTTACTTTCTTCTTAATTAACTAATCCTTAACAGGGGGTATAACATCGATTTCTTATGATCGGCCAGTTTTTAGGAATTAAATTTGTATCCACAATTAGCCTATTAGTTAGACAATAATCACGGAATCTTTACGCAGTAAAGCTGTCTTATTCATCAAGTCAATCATTCAATTTATATGCCGATTTCTTTAGGCTTGCACAATTGTGGTTTAAAGCTATTCTTGGATAAACGTTTTCGCTCCAACTTTTTGGCACAAGATAACTTTATTACGAGTTCTATCAGTTCAATAACGGATTCTGTATCAATCTGGTAAACTGTACAAAAATCGAACAGATTCCAGGTTGCTTTTTGCTTCCATTAGCGTAGTTTAATAGCTTTCTTATTCTAGCAAATAACTCTATTTACAAATATACTAGATTATTTTTGTCTGATTTCTTTGAATCATTAATGCATACCATTCATTCTGCTTCATCTTTACCTGATTCTAGACTAAATATAGATTATGTGTAGAACTTTATTTCTGATTAACAACTTACATCAATGATACCATTTTATTCTTGCATTGAATTACAAATAACAAATGCAGAATTATTAACAACGCCACAGGCATGCAAATGACGTAAAAGAATTGTATGCTATTATATAAAATTGAATAGATTGTCGTCGATCGAAGGCGTACAATATGAAATACATATAATATGCTAAGAGTACGTAAAATATAATCATAGCCATTCTTGCTAATAACTCAAAACGAAATAGGCAGAAAATTAAAGAAAATTCACGACATTTCCTGACTTAGCGTATAACCATGCATGATAGCACTATTAAAGTGGTGACCACAACAACTAGTATTTTATTGTCATAGCCCTCTTTCTCATCAATTTTATCCAATTAGTTTTCTGCGATTTAAATTACAGCTAACAAACTAGTTTATATTTTTATATTAGATTGAAGTTGCCGCCTATTTATTCATTCATTCAAGATAATGATTCTATATTATAGATGCATATATTATTATGGTAAAGGGCAATATTAATCAATTGATGGATGTATACTCATAAATTGGGTAAATTACAACATTTATCGCTATCGACTATAATTGAGTTGATTGACACATACTGTAATCCAAGCATGAATTGATTGCCATCAATGATGTAATACGAGAATGATGATCATCGTCTTAGATATAATTTGATAATATTATGCTACTATTTCGATCCTAAAATAGACTTGTGTGTCCTTGATGTTGAGTAAATAATTATAGCAAGTCATTAAGGAAATCAGATAGTGTGCCTATCATCTTATCATTCCGGCTTACAACCACGATGGAAACTGATGAATAATTATAGCTCTTTTTTCTTTTCAATCCAGGCGGAATCAACAAAAAAAGAATAAAAATATTACCTTATGCTATGATTTACTAGCATAATATACATCGGTAATTGAATCACATTATGTTGTAGTAGTCTAACAGTAAAGCAGAGGGAGGCATTTAAAAACCAGCGTTTATCATCATTAATGTAAATAATAATTTGCGATAGCGGTATTATTAATGATTAAAGAACAGCCACAATAATCATGAATTTGCTATTATATCGTTTTTCTGTATTCAGTCTATGAAGTAACTTATTCTCGGACAGTTTTAAGATGATCTTTATTAAATTATGGACTAATTTTTTTTACTTACACTTATTTTTAACGATTACTTTATAAGGTCAATAGATTCTAATTGAAAAATGGGTGGCTAAATTATAATAATATAATTGCGTATTGATTTAAATTATTTCTAAGTGTATGAAGTAATCACTATCAATTCAATAACTTGTCTTACTATTTCAACAACATTTTATAGCTGTGGACTTGTTTGTGTACTGGTAGGGCTCCTATTTTTCTTAAAATAATACCGCCCGTTATTCATCCAATATAATATACTCGCATAATCATGAAGGGATAAAAAAATCCATGATTCAATAACGGCTTTCTGGTAGTTATTCGTTTTATTGGCTAGGTTTAAAGAATATGGTTACCTTCATGTATCATGATCATTTTAAGTTATTTACGCTTGTTGCTTCGTGTTATTTTTATTAATCCCCTGAGACCAATATTTTATCTATTGCCGTAGTTTAAGTGCAAGAAAATATAATCTAGAGCTGAAAAACTAAAATTTTAACGAATTATTTTGTATCGTAATTGAGTAAAGGAATCATTCTAAGTGAAAGCGATTGTATCAGCTTTATAAAATTGGCAATAATTTGATGACTTTGTAAATTAGTTTATTAGTTAGTAAAATTATTGTCTTAGTAAGCCTAACCTAGCATATATACTAGTTAAAAATGAGATAATAATTCATTTATTATACAATCAAGATAATTGAAAAATACTCATACAATGTATCTTTAGTGTAATAACGCACTTAAATTGATACCATAGCTAGTAATTGAATGCCCGCAGCCATAACTTGATCGCCCTCCGGAGATTATTATCAAATGCATATTACTTTAAAAATGCATAAAATCAGTCTTTTGCAATTAAATAATAAAAAACCGGATTTCTCAATCATTATATGAAACATAGGCACAGCCGCATAATAACATATAACCCCTGCTGAGATCATTATGTTTCTTATCCAACCCACTCTTAAACTATATTTAATTGCTTCAAGTTTTAATAATCGAATATATATTTCTATTGTTATAATTCATGCTTCCCTAGGGTATAAAAGAAGTTCATTTCTGTAATTAATCTGGTGTTGCTTTTAACAGGATAACCGACATCGTGGATCTAGGTAAAGTGATCTTTCAGTGAATATTGACGATTACTAACATTATTTACTCGTGTGCAATTTTAAATTGTAATTTGGATTGCCTATATGGATATTATTAATTTCTAACGTGTTTCATTTTGATATTAACACTGACTGTACAACTTCAATTTAAGATTAACTTCAGTATTGTATAAATATTTAATAAGGTATTTATTTATTAATATCTTCGATTATGTGTTATTAAAACTGAATCAATCTAGACAGTGCATCATGAATATGAAGTTAATTTTAATCGCAGCTTTGCTGCTTGTGGCTACTACATACTGTACTGCTGAAGAAGAAATTACTGAGAAGGAATTGCAAGAGATGATGAATAACAACTTTGAAAACAAAAACAAAGAGGATAAGGAAATTGCCAGAATGGCCGACGAAGAATTAAAGCAAGAAGATTTTGAAGAGAATTTACAAGAAATGAAAAAAGCGGTTAGTACTGCGGTTAATAATAAAAATCTATTTCAACTTTACTATTTTCAGTTGTCGTTATTGATGAGTGCAAACTTCATCATGTAATAATATGCAATTACCTTTATAGCATAATTCATCGAGCGTATGTTAAATCTATGCGTTAATATGTGTTAATAAATTACAAGAACCAATTTAGGATAGTAAATAAATTTAATTGATTGCGTATTGTTACTTTTTATATAATCAAGTGGTGGAGACGTCGTCGTCGTCGTCGTCGTCGTCGTCGCCGCCGACATCATTGGCGACGATACGCCCGCATTGGTTTCCGAGCAGTTCGCACGGTCATAGGAAAATAGACTAATATCCAAGAACACTTGATGCTGCTAAGAGACTCTATGTCGATACCTATTTGTTCAGCTTATGTGAAGATTGACTAATAAAATTAAGTAGATTGTGTAGACAGATTCCCATTAGTGTATTAGTAGTAAACTTAATCATCCAATTATTTCCTAAATTAATACTTACGATAATGTCACTTTCACAATTCTGATTATATCTTGTGATTTTAGATGTATTGATAACTATTTGATATCGGAAAGTCAATTGCTGCATTTGATTCTATTAATAAATTGCTTTCCATTTTTTATTAAAATTGATGCTTCACATACCGGCTATTGAGGTTTTAGATTAGGGAACTAAGATTACTACAGTAAATACTAAACCTATCACAATATTAAGGATGGAGTATGAGGATTCATTATGCATAAATTATACTACGGATTGATTACAAATCGACGAGTGTATCATCTTTGCGAGTTCTACTGTCACGATCTGTTCATATATGATAGCTATCAACCAATTACTGTACCTTACACTAGGCCTGCACTCTTGTAAATATGGGTAAAAATATCGGGTAGTATAGCGTACATGTACGATAAGCATGTGCTTTGAAAATAATTGAGCATCGCCGCGGCTGGTCAATATAATATTAAGCATCAAATTATAGGTTTTCATTGATTAACCAACAGAACAACTACAAGAGAATAAAAAGTAAATTGAATATGATAAAATCTCTATCTCTCTTTCGCTTGCCTATACTCTTGGAGTATTCTGAGTTCATCAATGAAATAAAAAAGAATGAATAGAAATACATGATAATATCAGCGTTAATGAAAATAATTAAGCTGAGAATCTAGATGGCACTTCCTTCATCAACACGATAGAGAACGTAAAGAAATTACTTAACAAATAAAAATAGCGGCTAGTGCTTTAGAAGTAACAGATTGTAGCAACACTGTCATGTATCGGAAGACGATACTAATCAATGTTATTCGTAATGTATAAAAACTAACTAATAGATCATAAAATGAAATTTATAAGCCATTAAAATATATGCCTAGACTTCTTAAGGTAACCTAGAATTGTATTCTATGCTTGCTGATATTCACACTGTTATTTCATAATTAATTGTTTTGTAGGTATAATTCGATTTAATTCATTTAGTTTAATATAATTAATTACTGTATTATTTCAAACTAATTTTTTTAATTTCTTAATTTTACAGTCCTTTCTGATTTAAAAGGCGATGAGATCGAGACATTGACATCTTTTTCACCCTTATTCTTGCTTTTATACTATCCATATATACTTTCCAAAGATTTAGTTATCACTTCGCCTTCGTCATCGTTACCCTAAGGAATAATGGAAACCCCAATTGCTATACTGGATCAGATAAGATCATGCTACTGTATATTACGGTGACAAGGCACCGTAACAATTAGATAAAGCAGTGATTATTACACCATTAGCTATCACCATATTATCATAACTACCTATTACCAATTGCGCTACGTGCTGATCATAATCCTACTGGGGAACTATTGGTACTCCTGCTGTTAGTGCTATGATTCACGGATAATTATGCTACGACAGAAGCTAA